GAAATAACAAACTGACCACCAACTGACACTACCATGACTGAAACAAATAATTACACATACTGTCCTACGAATACAATGGGGATCACAACTATGGGTCCCACATCAGTGTTCTCTACACTCCCCCTCAAGTTGGGAATAGATATTTATCATTCCCAACTTGGATAGGTCTGCCTCTAACTTCTTCCTTGGTACTGCCTTGGTGAGGATATCCGCGAGCTGCATGTTGGATGTGATATACTGGAGACACACTTCTTGTGATGAGACCCTCTCTCGCACAAAATGTCGATCAACTTCAATGTGTTTAGTTCTGTCATGCTGCACCGGATTGTGGGCTAATTAATAGCCACCTGATTATCACAATACAACATCAAGGGCTTCTTATAATCAATACCCAACTCTTCAAGTAGTGATCTCAGCCATAGGATTTCAGCCACTCCGTTAGCCATTGACCTGTACTCAGCTTCAGCACTAGAGCGGGAAACAACACTCTGCTTCTTACTCTTCCAAGAGACAAGGTTACCTCCCACAAGGGCACAATAGCCAGAGGTAGACCCTCCTGTCATCAGCACTCCCAGCCCAATCGGCATCTGTATAGACCTCCACCTTCGTGTGATTATTGTTCTTGAACAGTATACCTCTACTCGGGTATCTCTTCAAGTATGCTAATATTCTCTCTGCCGCAAGAAGATGAGTAGTTCTAGGGGAATGCATGTACTGGCTGACAACACTAACTGCATAACTGTTATCTGGCCGAGTGAGGCAGAGATATAGGAGCTTTCCAACCAACCGTTGGAACATAACTTTGTTTTCAAGAGGCTCCCCGCCCTCTGCACTAATCTTGTGATTCTGTTCAATGGGTGTATCAGCAGGCTTAACACCTAACTTTCCAGTTTCTGCYAACAGATCCAAAATATATTTTCTCTGAGAGATAAAGATCCCTTGTTTAGATCTAGCAACCTCAATACCCAAAAAATACCGTAGTGTACCAAGGTCTTTCACCTCAAACTTTTGATGAAGGAGCTGTTTGAGGGACTCAATCTCACTACTACTATTTCCTGTCAATACAATATCATCCACATACACAACAAGCAGGGTCGGAGAGGAGTCCACCCTCTTAATGAACAGTGAATGATCTGACTGGGCCTATACATAACCGAATTTTCCAAGGGCTAGTCTGAATCTATCAAACCAGGTTCTAGGTGACTGCTTCAAACCATACAATGCCTTGTTCAGTCGGTAAACCTTCTTACCTGTCTCTGTATCATAGAATCCAGGAGGCAACTGCATGTAGACCTCTTCCTGTAAGTCTCCATTCAGAAAAGCATTTTTAACATCCATTTGRAACAGGGGCCAAGAATGATTTGCTGCAAGGGATAACAGAACTCAAATGGTGGTCATCTTGGCTACTGGGGCAAAGGTCTCCAAGTAGTCTATACCATAAGTCTGGATGAACCCCTTTGCAACCAGYCGGGCTTTGTACCTTTCAATGGAGCCATCAACATTATGCTTTACAGTAAATACCCATCT